ACGGCCTTTGGTCTGATCTCATTTTGGGGCTTTTCAGAATTTTTATCCACGGTGGCAGTGACTCGCTGCACGTCAGCCCAGGGATTACAGCGACACCATCACACTGTAGTAGGAGGGTGCACTGAGAAGAGCAGAAGAGAGAGAGAGAGAGAGAGAGAGAGAGAGAGAGAGAGAGACAGGAACCAAACCAGGGATTACAGCGACACCATCACACTGTGAAGGCTGACTGACCTGTGTTGACCTGCGTTGACCTGTGTTGACCTGTGTTGACCTGTGTTTACACCTGACAGAACTTTTAATAAATATTACACACTAAATATATAACCAATATCTAAGGCTGACTGACCTGTGTTGACCTGCGTTGACCTGTGTTGACCTGTGTTGACCTGTGTTTACACCTGACAGAACTTTTAATAAATATTACACACTAAATATATAACCAATATCTTTACACACCAGCGTCTGTGTGAACAAGTTCAAGTTCAAACACAGACGTATCATTTGACCCAGTCTGGTAGTTGTGCTGTACACCTCCTGCTACTATTAGCATGCTAGTGCTACATCATGAACATAGTCGCTAATTTATAGCTGGTTCAGATGTGTCTGTTGACAATTACCAACCATATCAATATAAATGAATATTTTTTGTATCAACATGAATCACTACAGTTTCAGTTACATAGTGAAGTGGTTATTTGACCTGCTAACACATCTGCCTTACACGCAGAAAGTCCTGGGTTCGAACCCCAGAGGAACCTCACCCTCTAAGGAGTGACAAAGTTCTAATCTTTTTTTTCCCCCAGATGGATTCCTTTGTCTGTCCACACAACTGTTTCACTGGTAAATGTTTCCATGCTGCTGTAGAATCTTGAGGTTTTCTGAGCTGAATCTCTACTGCAGGGCTCAACTTAAACACAGGTCGACTTCCAGGAACTTTCAAGGCAATTCCAAGGACTAATTTAAATGTATCAAGAAAGGAACTGCCTGAAGCCTCTGCTTACGTCTGAACCTGCTGTGAAGTTCTGCTGAAGCTGAGCTGAACCTCTACTGCAGGGCTCAACTTAAACACAGGTCGACTTCCAGGAACTTTCAAGGCAATTCCAAGGACTAATTTAAATGTATCAAGAAAGGAACTGCCTGAAGCCTCTGCTTACGTCTGAACTTGCTGTGAAGTTCTGCTGAACTTAAAGCCGTACTTTGTCAAACAGACGACGTAAGAAAATAAACCACAGAGGAGACAGAAATCAAACGTCCTTCCTAATTCCCTGTTGTCAGTTGGTGTCTGTCTCCTGGTCCGGTCGATTCCGTCCTCTGAACGTTGTCGGAAGAAGAAGTGTTGAGAGCAGCGGCAGCTGGGGAGAACATTCAGTCAGAGAGACACAGCTGTATCCTACAGTCCAACAGTGTCACCCAGCCAAGCAGCCAGGTGGTTCACCCCCCCCCGTCCCCCGTCCCCCGTCACCCACGGAGCTCAGCCTCCAGTTCACTGAGGACGAGTCGGTGACACTTTTATCAGTTTGGTACAAAAAAAACCCCATCAACCAAACTGTAACTGTTGCTATTTTAATTTCCATATTGACATAACATTTCTTTTCATTTTGTTGTCAGGTGCTAAATGGGAAGGGGGATGAGTTTCTATGCCAGCGGCGGGAGGACGCACTCATGCAGTCAGCCAGCCAGGGTCCCTGCAAGACACTTGTTTTTGTCCCTCTTGTTTTCTCTCCTCGCCTGCCATCCCCTCCGCCCCCTCCGCCCCCTCCCCTCTCCTCCCGTCTCCTCTGTGCTCTCTCTATCAGCGGAGGAGATAAGGCAGGGCCCTGTGCCTGGTATTAAACCTTATCTCTCCAGCTGGGCTCTAAGGCCTGCTGGATTTGGTTGCACAGACGCTGCAGTTCAACTCAAACACGCCTCGTTTTAATGACCTTTCCATTAGCATCGCTTGTCACCAGCAGGCTTGATGTGGTTAAAATAATTCCGTTGAATTTCTGGCCTCCATCCCGCACAGACCTGGTGGTGTTACAGAGTCTACAAATATAGACGTCTCATTAAAGTTTTATATTCACATTTTAATGGAGTTAGATGAGTTTTTCCTACTGTGTTGACACAGTATACCTACGGAAAAAAAAGCCAATCTTCCCTTTGTCACATTTCCTTCTGGTGCTGTTGTCCCTCTCTGTACGGCAGATGCCGGGTAGGGAGCAGGAGGAGGAAAGAATGAGGAGCAGGAGACAGGATAGAACAGGAGGACAGAGTGGAGAGAGAGAGGAGAGAGAGGAGAGGAGATGGGAGCAGACACCTACACACAGAGGAGGAAGCACGGGAAGGAATGGGTTAAGGTGAAAACAATAACAAGGGGAGCGGGGAGCGTGCGTCTGTGTGCGGCTCCCTGGAAGTGTCAGGCTCTCTGTTCATTGACAGTGTCGTGCACCCGCCGCCCTGAGAGCGCCGGCAGCCTCACAAAGACAGACAGCTTGAATTAATCCCACGAGGGGAGTGCGTGACAGTTTGGCAGAGCGGAGAATTGAAAGGGAGGAGGATGCAGAGAATGGGGAAGGAGCGAGCATTTGTCAAATCATAATTAAATGATGAATCACTATTCCGTTATTAACGATATGCCCACCCCAACCTCCCCTCCTCTCTCACACACACACACACACACATACACAGATACATACACACACACAAGGAGGAAGCAGAGAAATGAACGGCCACCGGCGTTGGAGCCACAGAGATATGGAGTCAACACATTTATTTTCACTGTGTCTCTATTTTTAGTCTTGTTCTTGTTCTTAGCGTACGTTAGCTTCAATGTTCTTAGCGTACGTTAGCTTCAATGCACCATGTTTTTCATGAATACATTCCATTAATAGAACTAGTCAAATATATTAAGAATGTATTTAAAATAATTTGATGAGAAAGTTCCTCCTCGGTGTCAGATGTTGTCAGATGTCAGATGGCTGGTCATTGGTTCACTGCTCCGGTCTCTGGTTTCCTCCACCAATGGAGAAGAGTCTAAATATGGACCACAGGTGTGAATGTGAGTGTGAAAGGTCGATTGACTCCTACAGCAGGGGTGTGGAACGTATGACCTAATCAGCTGTGAAGTGGGCCGGACCGCTACATTCATAACGCAATTACCTTAAATCACAATAAGGGCATTTTTGTTTTCCTGCAAATAAGTACAAGTATATTAGACCGTTTTCATATTTGATGAGTTATACTTTGACAAAACAAATTTTTTCAAAATTCATCAAGCGGGCCAGATTAACCCCCCCAGTGGGCCATATAAAATTCATCAAGCGGGCCAGATTAAACCCCCCCAGTGGGCCATTTTTTGACCCACGGGCCATATGTTTGACACCAATGCTCTAGACTATATGTGTGCCCAGGGTGTACCCCACCCTTGCCTGCTGGGTTTAGCTCCAGTGCCGCTGTGACCCTGCAAAGGATTACTTTTTAAAAAAAATATATTTTATATTTTCAGATCGTTTCCAGCTCTATGGTTTGACACCAAACACGATGTTATTTTTGGCTAAACCAAAAGCTTTCTTTGGACGCAGATATAAATAGAGCCTATAATGTATACAAAGAACGTGTCACTGGAGCTGATGCCTTTATGACAATCCGTCACTTTTTATCTGAACAGATGTGAGAACCCGACTCCGATCTGAACGTTCTGTGTTCTGCTGGATATACGTGGACGTCCAGGATTCAGACAGAGGTTTCTTCAGACAGACGCTATAAAAAAAAATCCATTGAACGGTCAGTAGTAAACCAGGTCCCATGGTGCACCTGTGCTGTGAGGTTTTGCAGTAACTGCCACAGATTATACAGGAGATGGTCACACACCAGGAAATGACATGAAGGGCGAGGAAGACACCCTGTTACAGGAGAGAGGAGTTTCACTGGAGGACAGGGAAAGATGGGCTGCGATTGGCTGTAATTGACAACCTGTCAACCAGGAGGACGTGATGGTTTAGGACTAGTTTAGTGCTGAAACATTCAGTCATCGTGACTTGAGGACTTCACTGCTTTACTGTCCTCCAGTCACA